CAAACTATGTCAACCGAAGAATTACTAGGTTTCTCCTAAACTGGTCAAATTAAACAGGTTCAGAATTACCTGCACAGGAATATGGTGACAGCATGAGTGGCATCTTTTGTTTTACAAGACTGCGCTCTGATTCTAAATTCTCATTTTATTCTGCCTACCCAAAACTTTGACTATTGAGTTGCTTCTCTGATCATCTCAAATAAACTCTTTGTTTCTTACTCAATTTGTACCTCAGTTTCTCTAAAGGGTCCCCATAAAATGTGACCTATTTATTGCTTAAAAACTTGAGAACACTGACAAGAAATGACATAGTTATGCTATAATTAAGTTCCTTTGTATTGCATTTCTCTTTCCATATATCCTGATGCATTCTTCATGTAGGATAATATGCTCCAGAAAAGCATAAGGTTGCCTAAATTAGAGAAGATTAAGACACAAAGATTTGCTTATCATTGCTTTCTGTAAAAAAGGATAATAGGATACACTGTACAATACTATCACAAATATAGCCTGGCCCAAAATACCAAAAATCATATGTTCTCCCTCATATGCGGACATTAGATCAAGGGCAAACACAACAAGGGCATTGAACTTTGATCACAAGATAAAAGCAAGAGCACACAAGGGAGGGGTGAGGATAGGTAAGACACCTAAAAAAATTAGCTAGCATTTGTTGCCCTCAATGCAGAGAAACTAAAGCAGATACCTTAAAAGCAACCGAGGCCAGTAGGAGAAGGGGACCAGGAACTAGAGAAAAGGTTAGATCAAAAAGAATTAACCTAGAAGGTAACACACACGCACAGGAAATCAATGCGAGTCAACTCCCTGTATAGCTATCCTTATCTCAACCAGCAAAAACCCTTGGTCCTTCCTATTATTGCTTATACTCTCTCTTCAACAAAATTAGAGATAAGGGCAAAAGAATCTCTGCTGGGTATAGAGGGGTTGGGGGGGGAGGGAGAGGGGGGGGAGTGGGTGGTAAGGGAGGGGGTGGGGGCAGGGAGGAGAAATGACCCAAGCATTGTATGCACATATGAATAATAAAAATAAATAAATAAATAAATAAATAAAAAGAAAAAAACCCAATACTATCACAAATATATCTGGAAAAGAGGAAGTATAAGCTCCCCAGAAGCAATCTGAAAAGGAATGCACTTTTCAAAATACTCAATGGAAGTGTTAGAAATGTTGAAAGTGATAGGGTCTAGTCTCTTGTGAAATCTAGCAATGCATATTCTGCAGCTCACAAAAAAGAGTAATGCAGTTCAATACAAGCTACAACCTAAAGCGTGCAGTGCATGAGGTTACAAAATAAACACAATGTGTTATACTGTTGTTATGTGAACAAATTCCTCTTGAATGCTACAGACATTTTAAACATAAATTCAACTAGAACTGCCAACCTATGAAGTGTAATCTTCAAGTTAAAGGTAAATATAGGTGTTCATTTGAAGGATTTTCGTTTCAATTTAGATTTTGTAAGTGCTGCAACTTACAGCCTTCAGACTTCTCAATGACAGGCAAGAAACTGAACCACTTTGGGCAGTTAGTGGATAACTTTTTTATATAAAATGGAAATATCAAAGTCAGAATAATTATTAGACAAATCGTTCTTGAAAAGTATTCTTTAGATGTCACATTTACTTTCTCCAAGAGAAGTAACATGATTTAAAATTTTTCCTTATTAGGATTTCTTTCTTTGAAAGACACAGAGGATGGAGATACAAGTCACAAAGTATGATATATTTGTGAAACATGTAACTGATAAAAAGCTGGTATTCAAGATATATATGAATTTTATCTCTAAATCAAGAAAAATTAAGTTAAAAACTGTATAAGAAATTTGAGCAGGTACTTACCTAAAGAAAAAAATGCAAAACTGATCAGCTAGACTAGCAAACATATGAGTGCACATCTAGAAACCAGAAGATATTGCTACTTACTCATTTGAATGGTTTAAGAAAAAGATTGGCAATGCTAAGAAGATATAGTCCTACAATTGAAAATCAAAGTCTATCAGTTGCTAAAATGAATCATCTCAAACATTTATCATTTCTTTAATTTTAATTCTATTTTGAGGGTTTTATATGCTTATCTTATTTTCATGATAGTTGAACTACTTTTTTACACTTTGTTCATATTAATATTTATACTTATATTTTATACTTACTGGGTTTTTTTTCAATATTTCTTTTTTGATAATTCATTATAGGAATGCCTCTTGGAATTTTACAGAAGGATTGAATAAGTAGTAAAGTTTCTGAATACCTAGTTGAATAAAAATTTCTGCTTTTTATATTTTGATGACCATTTCCCTTCTATAAAATTTGATTTGAAGTTTGTAACTTCAGAGACATTATTCTATTGTCTTTCTGCATCCTGTAATGAAAATTATAAAAATCTCAACCATTTAAGGTCAGGAGAAATAAATTTATTCCTAAAAAAATACTCTGGTTAAATTAAATATGAATTTACATCTCACAGAAATGTGTATGAATGTTCATTAAAAGTGATAGATAAAATTTTTTGCTCTATTATTTATAATTGCTTAAATCTAAAAATAACTCACAAGTTCATCAATAGTAAAATGGATAAATACTGGAACAAAATGCTGTATATTAAAGAAAATCAATTCACTAGATATGAACAATGATCTAAGGAATTTTAGCCAAAAGAATGTCTAGCCAATGAAGCCAAATCCAGAGAATAGACATTCAGCCATTCCTTTCCAGAAAATCCAAATCAGGCACAAGATGTGTGTGTACTTAAAAGCCATCATGAAACCGCTCTGGTGAAAAAGCAAATGGCAGCGACTGGCAGAGACACGAGGGAGGTGACTGAGTCCAAGCAGTACTGTAACTCTTGACCTGTGTGGAGTTTACATGGGTTCAATTTTCACTGGTGAATTGAGATGCATGGTAAGGGAATTTAAGCATCCGTGCATAGATTGTAATGATTCAAAATGTTACAAATTAAAACTTTATCCAAAGTATCCTAAGAAAACTCATTCTCTATTTCTCTTCTCTCAAAAGGAAGAATATATCCAATTATCCTCAAAATATAATATTTCAAGGTTTTGTATAATACAAGTAAAGAAATGTTAGAAAATTTCTTCACATATTTTCTAGAATACTTGCTGAGATTTAGCAGTAAAATAATGAGTAGGATGTATGTCAAAACTCTCATACAGCCATCTGAACATCATTTTTCTTCTTAAGTTAACCTACACATGTACCTGAGAGAAAAAAATCAGATATCCTTTTTTATGTCAGCTTATATCAGCTTTGTAAGTCCTAAATATTCTAGTAAAGTTTCATTACCTGCAAAGTAGTGTTGGTTATTTTACATTTTGAGAGACTGAATTATATAAAACTGTTGAAAGTATGAGTTTTCCTGTCAAGGAAGGAGACTCAGCTCAAGCTGTATGATGGATAATGGTGTTCCAGACCATAATAGTCTGACTTTAGTCAGGTTGTTTCTCCACCCTATGTCTAATGTCTTTATTGGTGGAGAGTTCATTTTTACAGTATTGATCTTGTATAGTTCTTGTATGATTAAGAGAATAATACCAATAATACACATCTCATCCCAAAAGTCATGACACTGAAAATAATTCAAAATAATTCATAGAAAATAAGAAATACACTATAATACAAATATCAATGGAATTGTATTATGTTGTGTACAATTAGTTTCTACTTCTTTGTTGGTAGCTCAAACAGTTCTTAGATAACATGCTTTTATTTCTCCCTTGTATTCAATTCTCTTTAGTTTATAAACATCAATTACAACTGAAATGTAAGTGATGCAATAATCAATATCAGACATAGTTGCAAGTAGTCAACTCTCAAAGCATGGGAATTTGACATTAGCAATCTAATCTATTTTAAATCATTACCTGTAGATATGAGGAATAAAATACTACTGAAGGCACAGCTATAAAGACCCATGTATTGGTACCAATACATCTGTAATGGGCAAGCAAAAGACAGGGCCTATGGAGTGGATAAATGCTTGTCACAATACTGAAATACTGAAGAAAGAAAATAACAGGATTTTTTCAATTCCATGCTCAAGGAATATAGAGAGACACTATAAGTTTCTATGACTACCATAAAAAGATGTTGCCAAAAGCCATAAAAGACTGTGCTATATTATTGCTGAGTGATGAATGAGGATATAAGTTGAACTCACAGACTTCCCAGTTTCTATAGTCAAGCCTATCCATTGGGAAAACTGGTACCTGATAGTGGAATGATGATATTTAGAAGTGTTTAGATAACTTTGAGGATCACGATCTTGAAATTCAGCAGAGTTTTTGCAATTAGCCAAGACAATTACTCCTTCACTGTCTGATGAAATCGGTCTTGCATGAATTGGAAATTCATTTGGACCTCAATTTAGGTGGCTATCATTTAAGGCCCTGTCAATTTTCATCATTCCTACCAGTCCTCAATGAGTCTTCTATTCAAACCCCAGCTTATCCCAGAGTGCCAGTTATGAAGCTAAACATGGGGTGTTAAAAATGTAGCAAGGTTTTCAAATTTATATTTTTGAAGGCACAGGTAATTTTTAGGCTACTAAACCAAGGAGAGAGGAAAACTCTGTCAAGGTAAAAGGGTTATATGTAGAAATCTGTTGACTTTGTCTCTCACTTTCTTTCACTCTATATTACATCTCTAAAACAGACTCAATGGTAGAATAGTCATTATGAGATTAAATCACCAGAAATTTCTGGGCATAGTCAAAAACTGTTCTGTCCAACACAGTATCTACTATCCACTAGCCAAAAGTCGCTCTTGTGCAATTTACTTAGATTATACATGTAAAATACAGTTTCGGTTTTTGAAGATAGTAAAACAAAAGGAAAATAATACTGGCTGGGTGCAATGGAGCATGCATATAATCTCAGCTAATTGGGAGATAGAGATTGGGAGGATCAAAGTCCAAGGCTGGCCCCAAGCAAATGCATGAGACACTATTTGAAAAATTACTAAGCCAAAAAGAGCTGGGGGCATGACTCAAGTGGTAGAGCACCTGCCTAGCAAATAAAATAGCAATAAAAATTTTACATTGATTATGTTGTAGTAATATTTTGAATGTATTAAGTTAAATCAAATATATGTAATTAAAATGTTTTTGCACATATCTTCCTTCTCTTTCCTTTTTTTCTTTTGATCTGGCTACTAGAAAATTTAAAATTACAAAGGCTGGAGGCATGACTCAAGTGGAAGAGCACATGCCTAGTGAGTGCAAGACCTTGATTTAAAACCGTCTGCTCCACAAAAACAAGTGCAAAATGACATAGGTAGCTAAAAATTCACTTTTATGCAATACTGCATTTCTTGAAGAAAGAATTCACAGACTTAGAGAGAGAATGTCCAAGTTGATTTAGCATATATATTGGGCTTACCCAATTAAGTAAACTCCACAGCGAAGCCCAGAGGTCACTTCCTTCACCTTTATGTGGATAGTTCATTAGAGAGATGAAAATCAAAATCATAGAAACACAGTTCAAAAGTGTCTTCTAGAGCCTTTTGTACAGGTGGGGCATTGTCGCCATTGAGATTTCAGTGAGAGCAATAGCATCAATCCAGCTTTTATGTACAATGGAACAGTTCTCTGTTGCTGTCATGGATAGCAAGGCAGAGTGGGATCCCTGTCTCCTGAAGGTACTGGACTGTCACTAGCAAATAATTCTGTTTCTCCCATACCCATAATGCATAGAGATCAGATAACCATGGGGTAAATGTAGGAGAGACATTAAAAATTATTTTTCCTATTAATGAGTCAGTATTAAATGGAGAAATAATGCCACTGGAATAAATCAAGACAACCTCAACTTTTTCTCAGTCATACCAAACTTAAGACTCTAGGCCTTAAAATCCCTTTTCTTAAAGCCTTTACTTTAGAAAAATTTTAAAAGTTAATCTTTTCTTTATCCCTTTAAGATGTAAATCTTTTAAAAGCCTCTCACCTGTTTTACAGTCTAGCAATGTCTTTCTCCAGGACTGAGAGCCATTATTTTGAATTATAAGCATCAATGGAAATGGAGGTCTATCCTCTAGATTATCTGGATAACTATGAGCCTAACAGATTCTGTGGGGGGTAGAAGGAGGTACCTTTTTCTGTGTTGCAAAAACTGCCTACGTCATGGTAAACTATCTTTCTGTCATGTCAGGAAGTTTACTTTCCTTTAAGTAAAGCAGTCAGCAAACACAGATGACCTATTGTATTCCCCTACATCAGTTCTTAAAAACTCTCCTGAGATTTTAAATCAGTAGAACTGAGCTCAGACTAAACTATGTTCTCTCCCCATCTCTGTTGCAATGGTCTTGAATAAGGTCTTCTTTGCTTATTTTTGTTGTATAATTTTTGCTTTGACAGCAATTCTACAATGCTTGCATTGCTCTAGCAACTGAGATGATCAAACATTGTAGTTCATATCATAAGACCACTGGCATGAAAAAGGAAGTAAGATATAGACCAAAGTGGTTATTTTTCTAATCCAAATTTGTGATTTTGTGGGTGTGAGGAGGATTAATGATTAAGAGGAACTTGTAAGGTGTTCTGTTCTACCTCATAGTATTGCTAGCTTAGTCACAAAATTAATGAAAAACTATATGAATCCTAAGTAGGGAGGAGCACTGAAGATTTTTGATATTTCCTTAAATGAAGATTTGCATCATGCTAGGAAGTATAAAACTGGTCTTCTTTAATGCTTCCAGGTAATTAACTCAGAACAGGTGAAGAACAAGGAATATAAACATAGGAAAAATGGACATGAAATGGCAATGAAACAGGTTGCAGCTAACTATCACTACAACCTCCTAACAAAATAAGGAAACAACTGCTGTAAAACTACGCTACCTGTCTTTTCTTCTTTGCTCTATGGGTATCACATTCACATACAGCCTTATTCATTCTACTGTTTGTTGCTAATACATTCTGCCTATGGGAGGCATGCATGTGAGATTGGAAAGAGAAAATAAAGCCAATTGTATCTCATCTTTCCAGGTAAAGTTTAAAACTGAGCTTCATATTTCCTAGGCTTACTGTAAGTCAGTCAAACTCAGGTGAGTTTAGCTTTTCAGCCGCATATTGAATTGAGTCAAGTCTAAACTTTTTTAGTCAAACTCTAAACCTTTTTATAAGGGTAGAGATTAATGCTAAATTGATGTGATCCTTTAAACACACCAAATCTGAAATTTCCAGAATCTTTTTCAGACAGTATAATGACTTTGGGGGTTAGGTGTTCTTGTGTGACAGATACCAAGTAGACCTATGTTTGGACCATGTACTATTGGAGAGTATTTGTTTTAAACAAAAATGCAAGAATGCTTAATAGAGAGGGAATTGGAAAAACATGCTTCAAATACTTGTCTAAATATATACGTTCACCACTTTACAGCAAGTAAAACGAAGTTCATATTAGATACGCTTAGCTGATCTAGATAGCACACTTGCTTCACCTGCAAAGGCAAAGATCACCTGAAGACCTTCCCTTCAGTTGATCACAAGCACTTCTTATTGTCCAGAGGCTGCAAGACTTCAGATACCAGAAGTGTGATTGGAAAGTTCAGTGTCAGGGAACGGGGAGAAGAATTTCAAACTGGTTCAATATGCAAAGGTTGAGGAGTTTCACACCTGGAGGAAAATAGAAGAAAGAGACGGATGGATAAAAAGTTTCCGGGCCTGACATTAGTAGTTAAATGTCTCATCTTGCCAATGTCACTGAGTCCTGGAAGATTATGATTAAAATCAAACAGATCTCTATTGTGAAAATCATAAGTTTTTTTTGACCATGAAATACCACTTCAGAGGAAAGGCATCAGAATCTATGTTCAGTATACACATATTTTCAATAACAGCATATCAGTAATATTATTTGCTATTATTATTTTTATTATTATTGATTGGCAGTACTGGGGTTTACACTCAGGGCTTCAAGCTTGCTAGACAGGCACTCTACCACTTGAGGCACAATTCCAGCCCTTTTTTTCACTTTCCTTTTTGTACATTAATTTATCTATAATCATATTACTGTTATACTAGGGGCACATTGTGACATTTACAAAAGTTCTTACAATATATCATAGCTAAATTCACTCCATCATTCTACTTTCTGCTCACCCTCCCCCATTCCTGGAATACTTTTAACATGTCTCATTTTACATCTTCATACATGACTACTTAATATTTCCACTATCTCCAGCCCTTTTTGTTCTAGTGATTTTGGAAAAAGGGTCTCACTTTTTTTCCAGACTAGAATGGTTCAAGAGTCTGCTATTTTAAGCTTCCTGCCATAGTTGGGATGACAGGCAGGTGCCACTATACCTAGCTTTTTTCCACTGAGAAAGGGGTGTCACGAACTTTTTCTGCCCAGGCTACCATGATTTGCCTGATCTCAACTTACTGTGCTGCTTAGAATGACAGGAATAATCCACTGCTCCCAGCCGTGCTGGTTGAGATGGGGTCTCACAAATTCTTTGCCAGGTCTGACCTGGAATCACAATCTTCCTGATCTCAGCCTCTCAAGTGATAATAATTACAGATGTGAGCTAACAGTGCCTGTCTAACACTTCCTTTTTAAAAATATTGTATGGTAAATCATACTGACTATGAATAATTAAATATTGGAGCAATTTCTACAGTACATTATATCCATACCGTAGGTTTCCTAAGAGGTCCCTAGCATTTAATCTTAATAAAATTAAGTCTTAACGAAATTATTGCAGTGTTTAGAGAATCATTTTAGTATTATGGGAAGAACAGTCCTATTATAGTAAACAAATTAACTTCCTAAGACCTCAATTTTGAGAGGATGATATTTTACTTGAGAGCTAAAGAAAATGGAGTAGCCAGCCTTAGATGAGAAAAAAAGAGGGAATGGCATAGGTAAGGTTTTCAAAGATAGGTAGGGGCCTTGTTCTACTGGCCTTGGGGGTTAGATGTTTTTCTGGATATAATGGGAAGTCACTGAAGGACCTGAGTAGGCAGTTGAAATCTTTACTACATGAGGCAGGAGTGAGGAACTAGGAACACAACAGTGAAGAGAGCGCAAAGCTAGTGGAATTGGCCTCAGAGGAGCTGATGTCTGTGAGATGCAGAGACAGAGGGATTCACTCCACACATGCAGTACAGGATCTGTCCTTGAGAGACAGCAAGAAAAACACAATTCTTCAAGGGGCAACTGGCTTTAAATTAAGATAAAGAGTTGAAGGGCTAGACTTCCACTATTCCACTACAGATGATAACTAGAATTTTATTTAATTTTTAGGAAAGGAGGGAAAAAGTAGATGCTGGACTAAATCACAGATCACACAGGAAAAAAAAGGAAGACGAAGACTTGATGAAGCCATTATGATGCATACTCACGTGAAACACAATAAAAACACCCAGGTTCATAACAGACCTGCTGCTGTAGACCTGCGGTGACAGTTGTGTTGAGGAGGACACCTCAGGAAATGATCATTTCCAATGGTTAATGTCAACTAATGGGCAGCTATGGAAAATTCCAGAGGTTTAAGCTCTTGTACACATTGTACACAGATTATATTATATAAAGATTACATAAAGTAAAAGAAATTAATAAAGCTCTTTCCCCAAACTCTGTAGAGATGCATGACATAAGTTTCTCTCTTCATCTCCTTCTGCTGGTGGCTAGTGAATTTCAACATTTTAGTTGTTAAGAGGCAAACAATTTGAAAAGAACAAGCATACAATATTCCCTAAAATGGTCCCTTAATAGGTATATGTAACATTGGTTACCTAAACTAAAATGAAATACGTGTACAGTTGGTACCAAAACTGATATGAAATGTGATTTTAATGCCAGGATGTTGTGGCTAAAGGGCAGAGAGTTAACGTGATGAGGAACTCACTGTTGAGTAAAGTCATACAAAAAGCGGTGCTTAGAAGCTCCCAGGAAAACAGAGAAGAAAAAAGTAGGATTAGGGATGTAAACAGACTGTACTCAAGTATTGCTGCCATTCTGCTCCTTCCAAATCATTGTTTATATCCGTTTTCTAATACAGTTTGCTTTGCTTTTGTTATAATTACCAAATACATTTAGAATGTCAAGGACGATGCTTTGTTTTAAAAACATTAAGCTCCAAAAAAACAGCAGTACTTCTGCTAAGTATGTGCCCTTCAAAATCATAATGTCCTTGAGGCATTTTATTCTTAAAAGCAAATGAAATTTTAATCAATTTAATAAATACCTCTTAAATTGAAAAAAGTTAATTCCCATAGGTCATTCTGAAAATAACTTTTAAACTCTGTTTTCAGACAAGGCATAAAGGAAATCCACAGATGTTATCATAAACAAATGTGAAGCTTAATGATTACAACAAAGCTAATTTCTAGTGAAGGCTAGAACACCACCAGACTAGGAAAAATACTTAGTTATGTCAACCACAAAACAATGTCCACAAACACAATTACAATTACAAACATTGCATCACATTCAAAATAGCTTTACTTTAGTTGTAGAACAAAATGGGAGCTAAGTTAAAATTTGTCTCATTTCTTGTGGTGAACATGATCTCTCTTCCTGTTGTAAACAACTTCTGAGTTTAGGAATGAGACAGTGATTTATGTATAATCGAGGATAAATGATCACTTTAATTAAAATACTTTAATGTTATTAATTGAGAATTATTATGGTCCACTAAAAATCTCCAAGTTTCAAATCCTGGACTGGCCTAAGTTAATGGAAATCAACATTTCATTGGAAAACCTGCACTTGAGGATTCCTTTAGTGCTTTCAGGTCTGTGTGGTCCAAGGCCACTACACCTGAGGGTATGAGAACTTTGTTGTGGGCTCTGATTCCTGCCTCAGCATGTGTATTTTGTAACAAATTAGTCCATATCTTACTGGATTGAATATAAAAATAACCAGCTGTTACAAGGCTGTTACTAAACACTGACGACATGTGCCACTATACCTACCACTCCTCTCATCTACTGTCCTCCCAGGGTTGTCTGTACCCACTGTTTATTTTCTTTGTTTCCCATTCATTCTTAAGCTCACCTCAAAGCTTCTTATGTTTCCCAATTTACTATTGATACTATTCATGTCATAACTAAGAAAATCCACCATTTCCTTTATGATATTAAGTGAAAATAATTTAATTTCTGTCATTTTACTGAGCCAATTGGGAAAAAAATCACTGTCTTTGTTATTTTAATAGCACTTGTTATTAAGACTCACTTTGCAAAAACTTTATATTCCTGTTTTAGTACAGGAATTTTTCTATTTGATCCTAAATGTCAGTATTCACAATGTCTGGCCTTAACTGCATCTTATATCTGTATTATTCTTCCTGGAAACATCATCAGACCCAGGGCTATGAATTTCCTGTTATAACCTCTAAAGTTATCATCAGACTTTTTATATTGTAGTCCTCCAGATGTCAATACTAAATTTCACTTATCATCTTTCTTTGCCTTCCATCAATATCTAAAGCAGAAAACATGGAGATTATATACAAGCCACAAAAGTGGATTGGTTATTTCAAAACTATGTTCCTTGTAAGGGGAACAAGGAAGTATTTTTAATATAGTTATGACATTTAAAACATCTTCACCACTATTTCTTTCATGTATGCAAGCATAATTGTCCCCTGCACAATAAATGAGCATTTCATCTGGTCCTTCTATTCTGTCCTGCATGTATTCCCATTGATTTTTTCTACCAAGTCAGCAGAGTGATCCTTTCAATATTTATGATATGGCATGCCTCTTCTCTGAAAAAAAATTGTTCAGAGTCTTCCTGTATCAGGCCAAACTTCAAGTCCTACTATGTTCTACAAAAATCAACACATCATCTGATACACTATCTCATGCATTCCTATGCTGATCACCATCGAAATGTTAATATTGGCTTTTCCTTTTTTTCTTATACTTGCTGGTTTCTCTACAGGGATGTGTTTCCATCAGTGATATGGTTTGAAGGAATATTCATGTCTACTCAAAGATTTTTAAGAAGAAAGTCTTAAGGGCTGGGAATGTTGATTAGTGGTAAAGCTCTGGGTTTGATCCCCCTTACCACAAGAAAATGAAAAGCAAAAACTACTACGAATTTATTCTTAGAATATCTTCTAAGAAATTGTTTCTAAGTTATGAGGACTCTTCCTTGCTAACGGTGTTGATATCCTTATAAAAGAGGCACCACACAGCCTTGAATTCTTTTCCTCTATCATTTTCCTCTATATGAAGATACAATGTCAAAAGTATCATTTTAGAAGCAGACAACTGCTGGCTCTTACCAGACACCTACCTGTGCCACAATGTTGAATTTCCACCCCCTAGAACTATGAAAAATGAATTTGTGTTCTTTATAAATTACCTTGTGCCCGCTATTTATTTTATGACAGCACAAAATGGAATAAAAACCCCAGATTAACTCAAGTCTTATTTTTTTAATTCTCCATCTCCCTTTTTGCTTTTTGCTTTTTGTCACTTTTTACCATTTGATACATTTACTCTTAGTTTCTTTTATGAATCACACTGTAAAATATGTGATCAGTGCTAGTACAACCTTGTGTTCTCATTGTTCTGGCTTAACACATTTGTGGAATGAATGAATATATTCACATCCCAAATCCCTGGCACTTACTAGATAGATAACTGTTGACATGTTA